TGGCTGGAGTGTTGTGGGGATCGAACTACAGCAAACTGAGGCTGCCAGCATTGTGGAAGCAGCCACTTAAAGAAATGAGCTAGGGCTGGGCCCCCAAGACTTGTTTAAACCATTCTGATGGATGTGAAGTGTCACCTAGGTGAAGGATACCATCCACTGTAGGTCATGGCACGGTGAAAGGCATGTTGTGTTGGCAACATACATGGCATGTATGCATGTATTGGGAGAGTAGGATTATGGTGGCTAATTTTCCCCCCAGTACTAGGAATGGAACCTAGGGAGCGGTGTACTCCATCCTGTTCCCTTTTCATACTTTACTTTGAGACAGGGTGTTGGCAAATTGCCCAGGCTGATCTGGAACTCACAGTTCTCCTGCCTTGGCTTCCTAGACAGCTAGGATTATGGGCCCATGCAACCATGCCCCTTTTTTTGTGGCTAGTTTCATGTGTCAAATCGCCTGGCCCAAGGTGTCCAGATATTTAGTTAAACATTATCCTGGTTGTTTCTGTGAAAGGTTTTTTTTTTTTTTTCTTTTTCTTTTCTTTTTTTTTTTTTTAAACGAATACTTAAATCAGTAGGCTTTGAGTAGAACAGATCACTTTCCGTAGTTTGGTTGGGCCTAATAGAACAAAGATTAGTCTCTCCCCAGCTCTAACCCTCTATCTATTCTCATCTCCCACTTAGCAAGACGGGATTCTTCAGCTGGTTAGCCCAGACTTGATCTTTAATTTGCATGTATCTATCTTGCAGATTTTGGACTTGTGCCTCCACAATTACGTGAGCCCATTCCTTACCCATCCCTCTCCATATGTACACATATCTAATTTATTGGCTAGGCTCCTCTGGACAGCACCAATAAAGGTGGATCAGAGTTTAGTTGTGTTATTGTAGAAGCAGTTTTCCTCTAGAATCTGATCTGAGCAGTGCTGACCTAGGATTTGTGGGGCCTGAAGCTTATGTAATGTGGTGGCCTTTAAGGGAAAGCATGGGGCTAGCCAAATAGCTCAGCAGATTAAAGCATTTGCAAGTAGGCGCAGGGGCGGGGTTGCATCCCCAGGCCTGCCTTGCCGGCACACCCCTGGGGCGGATAAACGGGCAATTGAGACAGAGCATGGTGGTGCATGCCTGTAATCCCAGTTCTTGGGAGGCTGTAAACAGGCAGATCACTACGAGTCTGATCTAGTAGTGAGACCCTGAACACCCTGTAGACACTTCCCTAAAATACAAAAAAAAAAAAAAAAAAAAAGCAAATTATGAGTATGAAGCTACAGCTTTTTGCATATCTGTGATGGTTAATCTTGACTGTCAGCTTGCGTATCTCGAGAGAGGCCTGCCTGGCTTTTCCTTGTTCCGCTCCGCTGTCATGAAGGAGCAGTTTCGTCCCCCATGATTTTCCACTGTGGAGCCAGCCTGCCGTGGATGGAAACCTTAAAACCATGAACCTTTTCTCCTCTAAGTTACGTATGGGAGGCATTTTGTTGGAATACTGGAAAAGCTGACTGATAAATAATCTGAAAATTGGAGGAACTTTCCAGATCGATTGAGAATTACGTACTCTGAAACTTACTTCTTCATCACTAACCAGGTGCTCAGAGTTGGCCCCAAGACACATTCATATTGCAGTATGATTTCTTTCCTACACCTTCTTGTTTGGGTGTCAGGTACTGACACAGCCAATAGCGTCACTACTGTTGTAGAGCGTAGCAGCTTGCCCTGAGTTATTACACTTTGGGTAAAAATGATAAAGTAAAATGACTCTAAAAACAACGCTATAGTTCCAATAATTAAGATTGGACTGTAACAACGAACTTGTGATGGCCACAATCAGAGTCCAAACGCAATCCAAAATACTTCTGTTGTTTGTTTTTTTTTTTCAGAACCGGGGATTGAACTCAGGTGCTTGTGCTTGCCAGGGAAGCCCTTATTCCACTGAGCCATCTCCCCGGCCCCTCAAAATACTTCCGATGTGAAGCCGCAGCAACTGATGTAGCTTGTGAATCTTTTGTTACTCAATAAACTCGGGCATTGTGGAAAGACACAAATGTGAGTCTAAGCTAATGGCACAGCTTGCACATGACAATTCTGTAGGAAGAATACATCCAACACTGGGAAACTGATTATTTTGTGACATTTTAATATTATTCAAGAGCATTAAGCTCACCTCATAGATTGTTTTTTGGCGAATGTAATTCTCTGAATTGCCACTGTCATTGATTCCTTTATTTTTTTTTTTGGCGGAACTAGGGATTGAACTCAGGCCCTTGTGCTTGCCAGGGAAGAGCTTATTCCACTGAGCCATCTCCCTACCACTGTCATTCACTGAATAGTTTATAGCCCTCAAAAGTTAGAGGTTAAGTTGTAAAGTATTGACATTTTTGTTGTTATTTGTTGATAGAGAATTTTTTTTTTTTTCCAGAACCACAGGTTGAACTCAGGCCCTTGCCCTTGCCAGGTGAAGAGAAGATATTTTAAAATGTCCTCTTTTTGCTTGGTAGGACATTACCAAGTTATGTACATAATTTAGAATATTAGTCTGTTTGGGCTGCTAAGATAAAATATCATAGACTAGATAGATAGCTTAGTCATCATTTGTTTATTTTCTTAGAGTTCTAAAGGCTGAAAGCCTAAGACCAGGGAGCTAAATTTTTATATAGTACATCCTCCATCATTGCCAAAGCACTGCCTAGGACAGTGAAGGCAAACCTTTTAGAGACAGAACCCAAACTTCAACCAAAATCCCACTTACTTATTGCAATGTGCCAACGCACAACTATACCCAAACGCCAAGGTTTTAGTTCAGAAAAAACAACTCGTACCTTAACATCTTTTCTTTAAAAAAAAATACAGGGTTGGTGGATGGCTCAGTGATCTAAAGCACCTATTTGGAACAAGCTTGGCAAAGCACAGGACCGCGGTTCAATCCCCCAGCACCACATGCCAGCCAGCCCCGCCCCCAGGGGGGCTGAGCTGGCCACACACACACACACACACACAAATAAATAAATGTTTAAAAAAAAATACAAATGCATATGTCATAGGTTTGCCACCAGACCTAGTGGAATGTAAATGTTTTAAATTTTTATTAGCCTGTGTTTGTACTAGATAATGACTACATTCATCACAGGGAGCTGGGAGTACGCAGCACATCTTTTTGCTAGGGAAATACAAACAGGCACGTCAAACTCCTTAAGCATCTACTCAGAAAGTTAAAGCAGCTAACCTGAGGTGGAGAATACATTTCTGACAGCTGGAGGCACTGGCACTGCTGGGGTCCACAGAGCCCCCTCTGTTGGCTCCTGAGCTAAGTGTCTGGATTGTTTTTTCTAAACTGAAACCTCAGTGTGTACTAAGGTTTGACTGCAGCATTGGTACTTTGTAACATCTTGACAGGCCTGCAGTGGTACCCGCTGCTCTCCAGGCTCTGTGATGCAGCCCAGAGACGACAAGAAAAAAGATGCAGGAAAGTCGGCCAAGAAAGACAAAGACCCAGTGAACAAATCTGGAGGCAAGGCCAAGAAGAAGAAGTGGTCCAAAGGCAAAGTTCGGGACAAGCTCAACAACCTGGTTCTGTATGATGAAGCTACGTATGAGAAACTCTGTAAGGAAGCCCAACTATAAACTTATAACACCTGCTGTGGGCTCTGAGAGACTGAAGATCCGTGGGTCACTGGCCAGAGCAGCCCTTCAGGAGCTCCTTAGTAAAGGGCTTACCTAGCCGGTCTCAAAGCACAGAGCTCGTTATTTGTACGAGAAATACCAAGGGTGGAGATGCACGATGAATAGGCTCAACTAGGTGTACATGTGGAAAAAATAAAATTTTATTATTAAATAAAAAAATGAATAAGTGGCTTTTGAGTTGCAGTTTGGGCATTTGTCTCTAGAAGTTTCATTATGTTTTGCATGTTCCTATTACATGCAAAAATACAATCACTCCCAAGTTCCCAGTGACTCTTCCTATTAAACACTCAAGAGGCTATCTGGAATCACTTCTTTTCTGTTTTATATGTTTTGTTTCATTTCATTTTTAATTAAGACAGGGTGGCCCAGCTGACTAGGCTCTTGGGCTCCCAAGTAGCTGCAGCTGCTGTGCACCCCTGCGTCTGGCCCAGGACAGCTTTTCTCAGTTGTATGCCAGACTCTTGCCCATGGCAGACTTCAGGAGCTGTGAGAAGATGTTTTTCACTCCAACTAGTACTTGATCTGTCATAGCTGCTCTGTACACCAATTTACCTGCTAGATGAGCTCATCTCATTTTTTTTTTTTAACATTTATTTATTTATTTATTTAGTGTGTGTATGGCCAGCTCAGCCCACCAGGGGGCGGGGCTGGCTGGCATGTGGTGCTGGGGGATCGAACCGCAGTCCCTGTGCTTTCCCAAGCTTGTTCCAAGTAGGCGCTTTAGACCACTGAGCCATCTCGCCAGCCCGAGCTCATCTCATTTAACCTTTTCTTCTTTCTTGCTTTTTCAGGCAGGGTTTCACTGTGCAGTTCAGGCTGTCTTGAGCCCGCTTTGTAGCTCAAGCTGACCTAAAACTCATAGTGATCCTTTCACCTCAGCCTCCTGAGTGCTGGGATTAGAGCTGTGCACAACCACACCCAGCAATCTCATTTCTCATTTTTCAAGTGAAAAATATGAACACTCAGGATAAAGTAAGTTGCAAATGCTAAGGAGTCATGAAAAAATCAGTACTTAAAAAATCTGCAGGCAAGGGGCTGGAGAGATGGCTCAGTAGAATAAGCGCTTCCCTGGCAACCATAAGGGTCTGAGTTCAATTCCCAGTTCCACAAAAAAAAAAAAAAAAAAAAAAAAAAAAAAAAAAATCTGCAAGCAGTGGTATATGCCTGTAAACCCAAGTATTGGGGAGGTTGAGGCAGGAGGATCTTGAGCTCAAGGCCAAGCTGGCCAGCATAGATGTTGTTAAAAAAAAAAATTAGTAGTTAGACTCTGACCTCAAACTTGTGAAAAGATAGCCTATCTGCTACTCACTGGGACTTAGAATGTGGTGAAGGAAGGTGAGTTATGAGGACACCAGGTGACAAAGGTTTACCTAGGGCACTGGCTATGGGAAGGAACAGATGCAGCTGACACAGTGAGGAGGCAAAAGCCTGCTGACTGAATGCAGGCTGGGCTAAAATGAAGAGAGCAAAGGCTGATTTTCAAGCCTAAGGACCTGGATCAGAGCCCGGTAGGAGACCACGAAAATGATGAAATAGGCACCTTTGGAGAAGTCAGGAGGAATTCAAGTTCACACATAGGTCAACCAGCTGGTGAGGCCAAAACTCCATTTCTTTCTTTTTTTTTTTTTTTTCAAAACTCCATTTCTGTATCCATTTTATTTTGACTTTTTGAGACAGGGTCTCTTTTACCTCTTGCTGGCCTTGAACTCATGGCACTTCTGCCTCAGTGCCTGTGTTCTGAAATCACAGGTGTGCGCTGCCACACACTGCTTATTTACCTTTCAAACTGCTTTTGCAATTTTAACTTGTGGCAAATCTACATAAAACTTGGCAGTGCGTGTGCACCATGCTGGGTTCTGAATCCAGGGCCTTGTGCAAGCTAGGCAAGTGCTCTCTCTGCCACTGAGCGATACCCGAGCCCTTAATTTCTCAGGGTGCAGCTTAGTGGCATTCAGAACATTCCCACTGCGCTTCGTTGAGAGCACACACACTAAAACTAGAAATACATTAACTGTCTGTTTAACCTGCAGTTTCCCCGGGCCAGCAGGAACCTCTCCAACGTGGATGTGATCTTAGCATGGCACGAAAGCTTGTGTGACACACTTTCTCCTGCAAGACTAACTCCAAAATACCAAAGAAGATTTGTGGGGCTGCCGGGATGGCTCAGTGGTCTAAAGCACCTACTTGGACCAAGCTTGATAAAGCACAGGGACCGCGGTTCAA